TTGTCATCAGAATTATTGCAAAAAACTAATTCAAGGAATAATCTTAGATGGTCGAAGTTATTACCTTGGGTGGAACTTCAGCACCAGGGCTTGAATTGTCGCTCTCGCTTGGATCATTCATTCTAGAAATTATTTCTTGTTCAGTTGGCTCTCGAATGATGATGGGAGTAGGTTTAGGCTTGATGGCCGTAACCTTGATCTTTGTTTTTGGGAGAGGTTCAGGAATGGGAGCTGGTTTCTTCAACTTTTGCCTCTTGAGAGGGATAAGAGGTGTGTCTTCCTCGTCACTAGAAAGTTCAATTTCTTAAACTTTCCTCTTTGTTGGCGTATATTTTTTGGTGGCCTAAAAAGAAAAGAGTAAAAAATGTCAGCATTGGTGATATGTTAAAGGAAATTGAGGGCAAAAAAGTGTTTACCTGTGGTGGAGGTTTTGCAGAAGGATCTGCTCCCTTTGCGCTTTCAGCGGCTTCCTTAACAATGGTTCTCTTGACGAATAGAAAACAAGCAAACATGAGCCAGATATCAGATGATTAAATCAAAGAAAAAATAAGGCATTTTCTCTAAAGAAGAAAGAGTACCTTTCTTGATCTTGTCGGAGACCAACAGAAACGCCTCTTGAAGGTGGTCAGCAAAGTCTTTTTCGTCGAAGAACTCTTCGTCGTAGTATTGCTTCCATCAGCCTTCAAAGATGGGAGAACACATAAAGTTGAGTTTGAAGTCGAACAAGGTTAGTACGGTTCGACTAACGTACCTACCAATTTGCTTGGTAGCAGCCTCCTCCGAATAATCTGCGTTATAAAACAGTAGAAAATTTTCTCGGGTATAGATTGGGTTTGAGAGTGATTGGATTATGCCAAACTGGTGAGAAACAAGGTTCGGTTGATAAGCAATCAAGCTCAGTTGATTCTTCGAACTCTTGAATCTCAGTGGCATAATTCTTGGGCGAAGGAAAGACTCCCAAATGCCACATACTCTTCGACACAATCCTCATCATCAGTCGAAGGATATGGTCGAGTAAACCATACCGGACCAACCTTTCGATTGGAAAAGGGAGCCATGGTCGAAACGAATTCCTTGCGCTTCGCAAACATCATTACGAAGTTGGTAAATGCTTTCTGAAATTGTTGACCTTCATCTGTTGGAGTCAACAGAGCCAACCTGGTGCCCTCGACCCTCCTATTAAGGATCTCTGGGGCTTTCTCATTGATTTTATTCTTCTGAAGAAGAAATGATTCGAATGTGACATTGAGCCAAAGTTAGAGAAGCCAGAAAGGAGAAAATTGGCTTTATCACCTATAACTTTAAATTGAGTCACACCATTACTGATGGACTCATAAATATTGGCCAAAATCAATTCGGCCAAACAAAGATTGTGACCATGATGAAGCTGAGTAGCAAGAGTGAGCATTTTCTTCGTCACTTGGAGTGACTTGGTACAGAAGACAAAACGAGACAACCACAAAGCTAAAAAAGCTATGTGTTCCACTTCAGACACAATGTTGTTGGATTTGTCATGAAAGTGGTTGATGAAAGTAGTGTATGTGGGTTTTGTAGCCGAAAACCCAATGGTATCTTCAGCCATATCCTCTGGATCGAAGTAGTTACCAGTTGGCCGAAGCCCAATGATAGCTGCTATGTCGAAGAGAGTGGGGGTCACCATTCCACAAGGTAAATGGAAGGTGAAATGTGTGATATCCCAAAAGTACAAAGAGGATACCAGCATGAAGGTACAATAAGATGACCCGGTCTTCGATAGCATGACCAGGTCGTAAATCCCCATGTCTTTCCAGATTTGGGTTTGCACCGTTTCCATCTTATTCAACCATTTTGAGTATTCCTGAGTCAGGCTAGGGTAAGACCTAAGATTCGGTTCTCTTTATTCATAAACTGGGGGTTTATGTCTTCTTTCGTCTGAGAATGTTGTTGATTAGCAGGAGTTGCATCCTCAGATTCATCTCTGGGCTTCTTCGCGCAACCTATAGACTTGAGCCTAGGGTGAGTTGGGAAGAAAGCGTTGTTCTGCTTAGGATTTTCGACACATGCAGACAATAGACCAGACATGGCGTACATTTGTCCAGAAAATATAACAGAAATGAGTAATTAGACAGTGCTTTCAAAATAAATATGTTATCTAAATAAATAATTATATAATATTATGATATACTAAATTATTTAATATTTAAGGTACATTAAATTTTAATATTAATCATATGCAAATCAAACTTATAATAAAATTGAATACATTTTTTAAAATTGTACTGTTTATTATAGAATAATAACATTATTTGTAAAAGATTTGAAAAGTACAAATGAGTTTAAGTTATAAATGAAAGATAGTATGTATTTTACTATTTTTACTTAATATTTTATGTTGTATTTTAAGGTGAAGAAGAAAAAATAATATCATAGATTTATAAACAAAAATTAAATTAAATTTGAAGATGATAATATTATTTTGTTTCTAAAAAAATTAATTCAATCAATTAATTATAATTTATTTTATAATTATTTTTTTTAAAAATCATATAATTTATGAAATATGATATATGATATTATGACATGATATGAAAAAAATTGACTTAAAAAAATTTAGTATTTTATATACCAAAAAAAAACTATAAATATTTATTTTTATTACAAAAAACAATTATGATTTGTAAATATATATTTTTTTGTTATCCGTATTTTGTTTTCCTTTTCTATTTTATTTTTCCAATATATTAATATATATATAATAATGTTACTTTTCTTATTTAATCTTTATTTATTTATTTTGATCCTTCCACTTTAAAAATTATTATTTTAGTTTTTTTATTTTTAGTTTTGTGTTTGAATTTAGTTCCTCATTTTAGTATTTATTTTCAGTGGCATTACACAACAATACTTTGTACCAAGAGTCAAATTATTATATTAATATTTCTAATTTGTAATTAATATTTTCAGAAATTATTTATAACAAACCATATCATATCCATCATTAAAATTACCAACACTAAATTTTAATACTTCAACACATACAACTTCACTCAACCTCACGATTGTCCGATAATCATTCAATAATCGCTAAAGTAAAATAATTCTTCATTTTTTATTCTAAAGAATATTTTATATATTTTGTAAATTGTAAGTAATGAGGGGTATAGCAGAATTTTCGGAATGGGCTCATGATGATCCATTTTGATCATACACGAACAAGTCTCTCTCTATATGAGAAACATAGAATACACATCTAATTTTGTAACATTATTATTGACAAAAAAATGACACATCAAGTATCTCAAACAATTAATTCAACGTTAGACTATGTTTGACAATAATCTAAATAGTAGGCAAGTCAACTGACAGTGAATAAAATAGTCAATGATTAGTACTTAAATAACAACTTAATGAATTTGATAAAATTAATCGTTGAGTTTATATATCTATAAACTAACATAAAATGATATTTTAAATTTATATATAATTTTTTCTATATTAAAATAGTAATGATAAAATTGAGAGAAAATGATATTTGTTAAATCATAAGTCTAAATTTTGTTTGAATTGATGTTTATAAAATTTAAAATTGAATATCGTATAGTTTTTATAAATGAAATATTATTATGCTAATGTTTATGAATTTAAAACTTAATATTTTATTTTATTTTAGTTTGAAATAAAGTATAACATATTATATAAATGTTTATATACATTACTCTCTAAAATCTAAAATTTGTAAAAAGAATTATGCCGACTCTTTTAATGCATGCGTGTGCAAAAAATGGAGTAGACATAATAAAAGAATAAATTATAAATATTTTTATAAATAGAAAAAAAGTCAAGTGTTGATATAATTTTTTTATAAAGACAAATAAGTTATAAATATTTTATAAACGTGAAAAAATTAATTATTGATATAATTATTTTTATAAATGAGAATAAATTATAAATATTTTTATAAACGAGAAAAAGATCAACAGTTGATATAATTATTTTTATAAACGGGAATAAATTATAAATATTTTTATAAATGAAGATAGGAGTTCTAATTTATCTCGTTCTACAAAATCATGAGTGTAGAGCCGACTTGTAGATATTACACTTTTTATAAATGATAAAAAATTAATATTTTAATTTATATCCTAACAACTATTATAACTTAATAAATTAAATTAATATTTATATAACAATTAAAATTTTTTTATTTTAATTTACATACATTTTACCTTTCTTAAGCATAACTATATAATAATAAGTATTATCAGTGAACAAATAAAACAATTACCGTAAATCAAATCAAATAACTTAAAATTAAAAAAAATTAAAACCTTAACTTAAAAATTAAAATCGCTACTGCTTCATCATTAGAGACACGTTTGAAAATTCAGTCTTATTATTATACAGGTTCCATTTATATGTTATAATAAAATCAGTGAAATGCAGACCGATTTTAAAATAGACGAGAGAATCGTATTAAAACCTCGGTGAAATTTGAATATTCCAATTCTATCCCTGCAATACACCTAGCCTTCTCGTCATAGCTCTCTGAACCCTACCGGAGAAGGAGGCAGCGCCGCCGTTGTTTCAGATCGGAAGAAAAAATGTGGAGGTCGATACTTGCAAAGCAAAGACGCGCTATTCTTCGCAACTGCAACGCCGCATACGTCTCACCGATTCAGGTTCCTCTCTCTAATTTCGCAATAAACCCCACGCAATCCACTGTTTCTTCTTCCTTAGATTCTCCTCTGTTTTCGCATTTCCCCAACGTTACTAACAACCCTAGATTCTTCTCTCAACAAACCGCCACCGAAAATGAGGTTCCCGTCGATTCGCATCCTTCTGAAAACCATGATGGTGCTGTTCGCTTCGAAAATGATGATGTCGGTGTTCCTAATGAAGATGGGTTTGGAGTAGAAGAAGAGGAGCCACAAGTTTTCCAGATTGATGATGAGAAATTGGAGAGAGTTGTTTCTCTTCTGCAGAGTAATGCTGATGGGTCGTTTGAGAGTTCTCTTGATAACATGAATTTGACTATACGTCAAGATTTTGTTATCAAAGCTATTGAATCGGTAGAAACTGTTTTGGCTGAGAATCTTCTGAGGTTTTTCAAATGGGTTTGGACTGAGAATTCGCTTGCAGTAACCACACAAGTTCTAGAATCTTTTGTTATTACAATATGCAACACTGGTCGTTCCTTGAGGGACAAATATGTATACTCTCTGTGGGATTTGGTGAAGGAAATTGGGGAGAAAGAAAATGGGGTTATCAATGTTACCATTTTGAATGAGTTAGTGAGTTCATTCTCAAAATTGGGAAAAGGGAAGGCTGCATTAGGGGTGTTTGAAAATTTTGAAGGGTTTCAGTGTGTACCGGATGCGGACACTTATTATTTTACAATTGAAGGTCTTTCTAGGAGGTCGGACTTTGATCTGGCTTGGTCTGTGTGTCAGAAGATGCTTGATGCTCGGAGAATTCCGGACGGTGAAAAAATTGGTAGAATATTGTCTTGGTTGTGTAAGGGCGAAAAGGCTAAAGAAGCTCATCAAGTGTATATGGCAGCAATAGAGAACAAGAGGTATCCACCTTTGTCTTCTGTTAACTTTTTGACTTCTCATTTATGTCATAAAAATGAAACTGTACCACTGGCTTTGGAGGTGTTGAATGATATCCCTGTTGAGAGGAGGAAACGAGCAATCAAGCCGTTTTCGGCTGTTGTTCGAGCTTTGTGCAGGGTTAAAGATGTTGATGCGGCCAAGCAGTTGGTTTTGAAAATGATTGCGGATGGTCCACTTCCTGGAAATGCTGTTTTCAATTTTGTTATTACTGGTTACTCCAAAGCTGGGGAAATGGGACAAGCTGTGGAGATTTTGAGGCTACTTGAAAGTAGGGGTTTGAAACCAGATGTGTACTCGTACTCTGTTATTGCTAGTGCTTATTCGAATGGAGGCGAGATGGAACATGCTAGGAAGATCTTGAAGGAAGCTAAAAAGAATCATTTAAAGTTGAGCCCTGTAATTTATCACACTCTAATCCGCGGATATTGCAAATTGGAAAGATTTGACGAGGCTTTGGAGTTGTTGTCTGAGATGAAGGATTTTGGTGTACGTGCTTCTGCCGATGAATACGAGAAGATGATCCAGTCTCTCTGCTTGAAGTCTTTGGATTGGGAAAGAGCAGAAAAGCTGCAAGAAGAAATGAAAGAAAAAGGTTTATATCTCAAGGGCATCACCAGAGCCCTAGTTAGAGCTGTCAAGGAAACGGAAAAGGAGGCTGTGGAGGCTCAAAGCGGAAGTTTAGTGGCCTAAACATTATGTGGTGCGACGTTAATGTGAGAATCCTGGTATTTGTAATTCTTTTATTGTTAGGTTACAATTTCCATGCCAAAAACTACTGTAGGAGAAATTTTCTGGAGTGATTTTTGTTCAGTTTGACATCTCTTACTGGCCTTTTTTGTCATAATAAAACTTGTTTAATTCCTCTTCCTCCAGTTTAATGTTGACACTAGTATACTCAGATTTCTTTATTTTCTCTAATTAATGTTGGACAATAGCAAAGCATAACACTTATATTGGCCACTTCAGTGCCTCTTTCTTGTGGATTTCCCTTGAAACATATGCTCATGGATAGTGATGCATGTAATGTAATAAAAACTTAAATCTTCTTAAAAGGGCTTTCCTCCATTTTCCCCCGTCCCCTATATATTTTGTTAGGGGATAGATTCTCTCCCGTGTAATTATTTTTCAGTGAAATCTGGGCCCTTCTTTATTTCAAAAGCATGCAATTAATTTATTAAAAGAATAATTGAAAGGTGAGGATTATCACTGGACTCCATGCAGTGAAAATTTCACTGGAGGCAATCCACCATTTTCATGTGTATTCTATGAATAGCTATTAGGCTGTAGCATATAGTGTAACATAGTAATTTAATTGCAAAAAAGCTACATAAATGTGTTCGCAGGAAGTATACTCTAGCACACAGTTAAAGAAGAATACATTCTCTTTTACTCTTTTAGGTATCCTAATGAATTTCTCTTCATTACTTTTGGTTGAATTTCTCTAAATTACTTTCTTCTGATTAATGCTGCTATAAGATTTATAATTTATCTATCATTGATGGAGATCCAAGTCTATCTTGACATGAGAGAGTATGCTGCTGCTTTATCAAATTGGCATGATCCTTTTCAAAGGATGTGCAGCTACCCGTCGATATTGTTGAGAGTAAATCACTTGATGGTTTAACCCTTCATCCATTTTTGGAATTTTTTTGTTCCTCTTCGTAGCTTTAGAAGGCTGCAGTGCTGCTTCCCAAACTCTTAGTGATCGCCAGTGTACCCTGACTTTTGTTTGAGACCTTGAATCAGTGGCAGAGCTTAGTTAGGACATAAGGTGGTCATGACGACTCCAAAAAATTAAAAATAGGATTGGCCACTATACTTGGATATAGACTTTTAACTAAATATTGTGTACTTGGATATAGACTTTTAACTAAATATTATACTCGAAGTTCCAGAAATTACCACAGGGTTGACAAAGTAGTTAAGCAGTGTTTTTTTGGGTGTTGAATTGATAGCAACAAAGAAGTTTGCTGCTGATTTTCTGGTTTTTCCGCTTCTTGATTGCAGTGTCTTCAATTCAAGTTTGTGTTGAATAATATTGTAATTCAGGTGTAAGTTACAAGAAAATGATTATTCAGATCATTTAAGTTAGTTCAATAGATTGTATTATGGAGTCTTAATTTAATTCTGATCTTATATGGGCGAATAGGGGACATCATATCATAATTGTGCTGAAGTCGTATGTTTTGATAGTTAGGATGGTGATAAGTTGGTGGAGCAGCAACCGTCATTTGTGTTAGACATGTCCTGTTTATGTTTGTCAGTAGCAGGTGCTGTGAAGGATTGTTGCTGGTCATATCTCCGAGTGTAAGGCTGTGCGTCGAGGTTTGTTTGGGTGGTGTCAAGTGTAGCAGAGCAGTGGGGACCGGTTGGGGTTGTTTCCGAGTTTAAGATGTTTGTTGAGATCATGGTGTCCCAAGTTTGTTGCTGAAATGCTGTAGTGTGTTTGTGAATTATGATATTTCTGTGGTGATGCTGTGAGCTTTTGCAGTGATAATAGGAGGCAATTATATTTTAGTGTTTGCCTCTTCCCAATCAAGGTTCGTTTGCTTGAATTGGCAGAAAAAAGGTAACCGAACCCGGGTTTTGCAGTGATAATCCTGGTGCTGTCCGGGCTGTTAAGTTTGCTGCAGGAAATGGACCTAAAAATAGGTATCCGTTTCCGGGGGTATTTGGAGGGAGATGTCAGCCCTTTCTTTTCAGGACCTATATGCAGGAGTGTGTCCGGACGTTTTAAGCAATATGTAGCGGTTCTGATCGGTATAAAATTTGTCAAACCAGATTGTGTTTTTGGTTCTCAAGTCTTATTGAAGTGGGATAAAATCATCACTCAACAGAAAAGTTTGGAGTATTGGAATATTCTCACCTGTTTTTTTTTGCCTAGCATTTTTAATTTTAACAGTTTGTGGTGGTCACCTCTGTAATTTTCTTTTTATGTCTCAGTGGCCACAGGATAATTGTGCTTTATAGTTTGTGAATTGTGATTATCTGTATGTTACGGGGCTTTTTCTGTATTGGTGGCTCTGCTGTGGGTTGTTCTCAGGTTCAGGGGGTTTAGATTGTGTGGTTGCTACCTTTCTCTCTATCTCTCTCTTGACCTTCCTTCTCTCTCATCTAAAAACTTATTTAAATCACTTAATAATACTCATATATCTTCAAATTACTACTAAAGTTACTAAGTCACTAATTCATCAAAGGTAACAAATCTATTTCGAATTGTGTGATAGCTATTTGGAACAATTGATAACTACTGATATCTATTTGTACCTGTTTTGGTTTTGGCATATCTTATGCCTAGACCAGCTGCTTTAATGCATATTTGAAGTATGGAGTTCACCCGGTTAAGCCGCTAATATGAAGACTCATGGACACTATTCATACTTTTTGTTATACTCCTACTTTATTTCATCTTGCTCATTGCTATATAAACTTGCAATACAGTTGATATTTCATGTCTCATATCTAATGTTTTGACAGAATGTTAGGTTCAAGTTAGAAAAAATTTCGCTAAAAATAAGTTAGTAAGAAACCAATGAGAAAACTTAATTCTTAAGCTGTAAATTTTCCTGACTGAAAACTATGATTATTTTCTCTGGAAAGCTTTAAAAAAAAGTTGTTGAAAGTGACCCAAACATGAGACAAGAATCCCGTTTGGACTCGGCATGAAAAAACGTTACAGAAAAAAGCACATACTACCGGATTTGGCTATTCTAGGTGCCCGTGGTGCTATTAAACCATGAGAATTTTTTTAACACGTGGTGCACTTCTTCTAAACCTCTAGCCAAAATGAAGACCTCGGGTGAAAATCTCAAAATATCCTTATATTTTGGATATTTATATCTGAACGCATCGTATTTGACAATAACATGTGTGTTCGCATGTGGATATTCGAAATTATTTTATATTGTCAAAAACAGGGTGACTTCGTATGTGTATCTCTGAATTCACCTCATAATTTATCATTTCGGAGATGCACATCTGAAGTCACCCTGTTGTTTTCAAAACCCCGAACAAAACATATTCATTTCTATTCAAACACAGAAATTTTATATTTCTACTCCAAACTCTATATTTCTATTATTCAAACTTGAACAACTCAGTCATTTCCACTCATCTTCCCATTTCAACTCTTTTCAAGTTATTCCAATTCATCTCCAAGGCTTCAAATTTGTGTAAGTTTTCTCCATTTTCATTGGATTTACTATGCAATGTTATAATAGTGTATTAGGTTAGTTAGTAGAAATGACATTGTGTAGATTGTTGTTAGAATAGTTAAATGTTGGTGTTTGGGTGACAAAAAGGTATTTGGATGATTTAGTGAAAAAAGAAGCAACTTCTTGAAAATGGTTATTCGTAGGTGGTTTCGCATGTACACATTCGGAATCTCCTGGACCAGTTTCAGAAGTGCACATGTGAATTCTTGTCTGAGTTATTTTTTTTAAAACCTTGATATTGACAATTATAATTAATTTTTCACAAAGATAACTGACAATCAGGACCTGTACAATCGTTTGAGACAAGGAAGGCCAAGCCAGACTGTCTCTGCTCGGCGAGAGAGAGTTGAGCAGCAGGTTAACAGGTCTCGAGGACGGAGTCGGGTACGAAGGGAGGAATTTCCTGGAAGTTCTTCTTCTGCACCGAGGAGTCGTCTGTCTCTGGCATCTATCTCTCGTGCGCATGAGCAGGTACCCGAGGGGGATGAGGTACCCGAGCATGTTGAGGTATCCGAGGGAGATGAGGTACCCGAGCATGTTGAGGTATCCGAGGGAGATGAGGTACCCGAGCATGTTGAGGTACCCGAAGAGGAAAACCAGACTATCCAGGAGGGTCTTATGACACCTCTCTCTTGATCTACTATAATGATCATGCCGCTCGACATATTTGAGATGAAGAGGTATATTTTTGGTTGCATTTTTTTCATTTTAAAGGTTAATAAAAAATATAATTTTAACGGTTATTATTATTTTTTGTTTTAGGAACGGTTGCCAATTAATCTGTGAGTCACTCACGGTAAATATTTGAATTGTTCATACCTGCGACTGCTTGGTTCCATGAGGTCGTGGTTGGATTCAGACTTGCCGAACTATGTAGTACTAGTTAAAATACTATAAGCCACGACATGCAGGGTGCATTTTCTGAGAGGTGGCACAAGGAGACGTCGTCTTTCGATTTTTCTGTTGGAGAGATGACAATCACACTTGATGACGTTGCTTGCTTGCTCCACCTACCTATCAGAGGTAGATTACTTAATCATCACAAGGCATCACAAGTTGAGGCGGTTGGATGAATGATTGTGTATTTGGGAGTTGATCCATATAGGGAAGCTGAGGACTGCAGAACCACTAATGGGTCGCATGCAAAGTTCTCTTACCTGAAGGAACTATATAAGGAGCATTTGATTGCAGCAGCAGGGACCGAGGATGAGGGTGACGAGGTTTTTGTCCAGTACCACTGAGATTGTGCTTTACGGTGTTACTTCATGTTTTTGGTTGACACGTTCCTCTTTGTGGACAAAAGTGCCTATTACCTAGATGAGATATACTTCTGGTATTTTATGGATCTGAATATAGTTCGTGAGTGGAACTAGGGGGCCTCCATCTTGGTATACCTCTACCAGAAGCTGAGTAAAGCTTCAAACTGGAGGACGAGACAACTCATTGGCTCTTGCACACTCTTCACGGTATCTTTCA